GTGGGAGTGGCTTGCCGGCCATGTGACCTGGTGGGAGTGGCTTGCCGGCCATGTGTTTTCTCCCCCCCCCCTCTTTCCTTCCTTTTGTCTCTCTGTCCCTTTTTCCTTTTTTTCTTTCATCTCTCTCTCACACTTTTTCTTTCTTTTTTCTTTCTTTCTTTCTTCCTTTCTTTCTCTTTGTGTGTGTGTGTGTGTGTGTGTGTGTGGTGGGTTTCAAAAATTTTCGAATCTACTCTGTGGGTGTGGCCTCCTTTGTGGGAGTGGCTTGCCGGCCATGTGACCTGGTGGGAGTGGCTTGCCGGCCATGTGTTTTCTCCCCCCCTCTCTCTTTCCTTCCTTTTGTGTCTCTGTCTCTTTTTCCTTTTTTTCTTTCATCTCTCTCTCACACTTTTTCTTTCTTTTTTCTTTCTTTCTTTCTTCCTTTCTTTCTCTTTCTCTCTCTGTGTGAGTCTGTCTGTCTGTCTGTCTGTCTGTCTTTCTCTCTCTGTGTGTGTGTGTGTCAGTAGTGGGTTTCAAAAATTTTCGAACCTACTCTGTGGGTGTGGCCTCCTTTGTGGGAGTGGCTTGCCGGCCATGTGACCTGGTGGGAGTGGCTTGCCGGCCATGTGTTTTCTCCCCCTCTCTCTTTCCTTCCTTCTGTGTCTCTGTCTCTTTTTCCTTTTTTTCTTTCATCTCTCTTTCTTTTTTCTTTTTTTTCTTTATTTCTTTCTTCCTTTCTTTCTCTTTCTCTTTCTCTCTCTGTGTGAGTCTGTCTGTCTGTCTGTCTGTCTGTCTTTCTCTCTCTGTGTGTGTGTGTGTCAGTAGTGGGTTTCCAAAATTTTTGGAACCTCTTCTGTAGGTGTGGCCTGCTTTCTGGTGGAACCTCTTCTAACCGGTTCGGTAGATTTGACGAACCGGTTCTACCGAATAGGTGCGAACTGGTAGGAACTCACCTCTGTCTGGTAGAAAACTTGAGGCAAATCAGGTAGATTCTCCTGCTTGTGTTTGAGGTAAAAGTACAATCTGAATAACTTTCTCTACCCACATAAATACAATCTGTAATAATATATTGTTCACTCTAACTCAGGTGTCCAAGATCCCAGTCTCAGAATGCCCTAATTTCGAAGACTGTACCTCGTGCCTGCATGCGGAAGACCCCTTTTGTGGCTGGTGTGTCCTACAGAGCAGGTGGGCCTCTGATGAGAGAGCGTATAATATGAAGAGGGGTTGTTTTAAAGGAAGAGAGATGGGAGTCTGACAGAGTTGTACAATGCCATGTTCCATTGCTAACTGAAGCATGGTCTGTTAAATTCAACCCAACTGCCTGGATGCACTCAACACAGTGGAATCATAAATCAACTACGCTGGCTGGGTTTACAGAATGCACAGAATAAATAGCCAGTCTTATTTTAGCCTAGCATGTTGTATAAACCCAGCTTCTTTCTCTTCATCTCTAATATGATTGGCAGGTGTACCCGGAAATTGGAATGTGAACGCCATGAGCTGGCCAATCACTGGCTCTGGAGTTATGGAGATGAGAGCCAGTGCTTGAGAGTGGAACAAATTCTACCAGCCAATCAGAGTCGAGAAACACAGACAGAGGTGCGTGAAACAGCAGGAAACTTGCGAAGCGGATTTATTATGATTTAGCAACTGATCTATCCATCGTCCTATAAATATTTGCACATGTGAAATGAAACTCTTTGCATTGCTTGGATTAATGGAAAAAAAGGCTGTTTTCTCCCATATGCCCCAAGGTGTTATTCTTAAGAGGGATAATGCATGAATTACAATATCTCGCTCAAATTTATAAAATGCTTTGTCTTCCAAAGATGTAATGTTGAAGTGTTAAATCACATTTAAACCAAAGACCTCAATGGCCTTGTATTCCAAGAAAATATATGTGTTTCCTGTCCTACTCAGATCTCCTTGATGGTCCCCAATCTCCCTGCACTGGGTGAAGGAGAGTATTACCACTGTGCATTCGGGACCCAAAAAAGCCAGGCCCAGCTTCAAGATTCTTGGATCCGCTGCTTATCACCTGTTCCTGAGCAGGTGCCACCTATCCAAGAAGGCAAAGGTAAGCACGGGGCTTGTGTGTGGCTACTATACTGAGTGCATTACATTCTGATGTTATTTAATAAGGGAGGTTTTAGCCAGAAGTCCTACAGATGCAGTGGAGCTGCAGTGATAGAAAGACTATAGTATGTACCTAGATACACCCATGTTACACCTATCCTCCGCGAGCTGCACTGGCTCCCCATTGGTCTCCGGA